ATCTCCCGAGGGGTCCCAGACTGGGAGAGGGCACAGGCGGGGCTGGGGGGTCCTCCCTTCCCCCTGAGTGCACAAATTTTTGTGCACCGGGCCTCTAGTATTTATATAAGATTCAAATAAGAATGTTGTTGCAAGCAGTAGAAAATTATGTGTAGATAATTTAAATGACTTTTCCCAGAGTATAGAGTACTGAATCTGATCTTAACTAGAGGCTAAGATATTCTTGTTCTAATAGTCTTTGGGCTCATACAACCTGTTCAAATGTATACCTTCCCCCTGCCCCTCCCACATACATTGCATTTTCTTATAGTGATTAAAGATAACATAGTTGTTTTCCTTGTCCTTTTTTAAAAACATTTAATTCTGGAATATAAAGTTCTTTTTAATTAAAGTATAGTTGACATACAATATTATTTTGGTTTTAGGTATACAACATAGTGATTTGACATTTATATACCTACAAAGTGATTACCTCAATAAGTCTCATAATCACCTGTCACTATACAAAATTATTGTGATATTGTTGACTGTATTCCCTATGCTGTGTTTTACATCCCTGTGACTTATACGTTTGTACCTCTTAATCCCCTTTACCTTTTTCCTCATTCCCCACCACCCGCAGCAACTATCAGTTTGTTCTCTGTATCTATGAGTCTATTTTGTTTCTTCATTTGTTTATCCTTTTTAGATTCCATATATAAGTAAAATGATACAATATTTGTCTTTCTCTGACTTATTTCACCTAGCACAATACCCTCTAGATCCAGCCATGTTGTCACAAATGGCAAGATTTCATTCTTTTTTCAAGGTTGAATACTGTTCCTGTGTGTGTGTGTGTGTGTGTGTGTGTGTGTGTGTGTGTGTATCTCATTTCCATTGATTTTTAAAGAGAGGGTGAAGGAAGAAAGAGAAGCATTGATGTGGAAGAGACACATCAATTAGTTGCCTCCTGCGTGTGCCCCAGCAGGGGCTTGGGATTGAAGCTGCAACCCAGGTAGGTGCCCTTGACCCGGGAAGCGAACCCATGACCTTTTGGTGCTCGGTCCAATGCTCTAATCACTGACCCACTCTGGCTAGGGCTCTCACTTCCTCTTTATCCATTTATCTATCAGTGGACCTAGGTTGCTTGCACATCATAGCTATTGTAAGTAATGCTGCAGTGAACATAGGGGTGCACATATTTTTTCGAATTAGTGTTTTATTTTCTTCACATAAGCACCCAGAGTGAAATTTCTGAGTCCTTCTTTGTCTTTTGTTTGTAGCCCTTGTTGTAAAATCGATTCCAGGAAGGGAAATTCATTGACAAATTTAGGCTAGCTTGCTGCAAAGTGCTTCTATAGCATTGCTTTACTAGTGGTAATATGCCCTAAACCAGTTTTAACCAGGGGAGGGTTATCCTAGATTTTTTAAAGAAAATATATAAAGATATGACTACAAGTGACGGAATTGAAGACTTTGAGAAAAGATGTGAAAGATGTAAAAACACAATGTAGATAGAAATCCCTTATTTCAGTAGTAAGACAAAATGTAGGGGAAAGGTTTTTATTATTGTTATGCAATTATTATCATCATTCCACACTTTTTAAAAAGATTTTTTATTGATTTTTAGGGAGAGGGGTAAGAGAGAGAGAACCATCCATGTGAGAACTGAACATTGATTGGCTGCCTCCTGCACAACCCCTAGTGGAGATCAAGTTCACAACCAGGCATGTGTCCTGACTGGAATCAAACTGTCAGCCTCTCAGTGCACAGGTCAACACCCAACCAACTGAGCCATACCTCAATAGGGCCCACATTCTCTTTTGACCCTTGTAAAAATGCATGTTTTACATGGTAGTAATTACTGTATTTCCTTAATTTAAGTTAATACGTACTAGGTGTATTGGTTAATAATGGCAGATTTTGTAATCAAAGAAAACACAATAATTTCAAGAGAAACATCGAAAGTGCTTTATTCAAAGTAATGTCCATCTCTCGCTACATATTTCCCCCTCTTTCAGGTAATTTGTGGATACCGTTCCAATAGAACTTTTCTTGTTTTGAGGCAAACCATTCAGAGACACAGTTTTCCACTTCTTTGTACGTTTTGAAGTGCTGCTCAGAAAGTGCGTGTGCCATGGATGGGAACAAGTGGTAATCTGAAGGAGCAAGGTCTAGTGAATATGGCGGGTGGGTTAATACTTTCCAGGCAAGATCTTTTCAGGTGTCTTTAACTGGTTTTGAAGTGTGTGATGGTGTGTTATCATGAAGGAAAATTACTTTGCTGCACATTCTGGTCATTTCGCTATCAAAGCGTGGTCCAAATTCATTATTTGTTGTCAGTAGCGATCAGTATTAATGGTTTCACCTGGTTTTAGAAGCTCATAATACACCACACCTTCCTGGAAGGTGCTCACTGAGAGTCTGGAGCAATGATTTCATACTCTCATTTCATATCATCACAATAAACTCACACATTCCTGTGGCTCCAGCCTCAGACTAATGAATTAAAACATCTAGAAACATTGCGAGATGCTCAAATAGGATACAGGCACACCAACTGGGATCCTAGGTGTCATGGGGCTGTCATAGGGTTGCTGTTGAATCTGTGTTCAATATTAACTATTGTGAAGTATCTTTTTTACCAAACTCGTACTGGGTTCCAGTGTTCCAACAGTAATTGCCCTAAAACCTAATGGTTTATTTGTATATTACATAAATATGGGGGAGGAGGCTTCATGTAAATGATCACAGCTACATATAATTATGTAAGTGCTTCTGTTATGATTATAGCTATATATACAAATAGGGTTGTTTTTAAGAAAGAACTCACTTGTTATTCATAGTGAATAATTCATTTATTCCTTTTGTTTTTAGGCTGTTGAAAACCTCTGTTCTCATAAAGTTTCCCCAACGCTTTACAAGCAGCTCCGCCAGGTCTGTGAAGATCATGTCCAAGCACAAATTCTTCAGTTTAGAGAATATCCTTTTGTTGTCTCATGAAGTTTCTATTCGTTACCTAAATATTTTGAAACTGAACATTAATTAATAGGATAAAGAACTAAATGGTATCCTTAATATTTTTTAAATGACTTTTTAAATTCCCTTTTATTTACAGAACAGAAACCTTAAATTTGCTTCATATGACCCAGTATAATAGATTTTCTTTAAGTAGAATTTATATCATTTTGCTAATCTGGTCAAAGCAAAACAGTGTCCTTTTATAGGATCTGGTTAAGCATTTAGGAAAAGTTCTAAAAAATGTCTTAAAGTCTGAGTTCTGTTATCCTTTATTCTTATAAAAACCCATCTGTGTTAGTTTTCTATGATATGTAACAAATTACCACAAACTTGGCTATGTAAACCTACACCCATTTGCCAGCTCATAAAGTATAGTCAAGAATAGTGGCTTAGCTCAGTGGGTTTTCTGCTCAGGGTCTCAGGCTGAAATCAAGGTGTCTCTGGTCCGGTGGTCAGCTCCTCTTCCAGACTCACAGATGTTGACAGAATTCACTCAGTTACAGAACCGAGCCCACTCTCAGTGCCCTGTGGCCACCCTTGGTTTCTTGTCACGAGGTCACCTCTCTGACAACATGGTTATTTGCTTCTTCTGGGTGATCCACAATCAAGGGGAGGAAGTTATAGGCAGGGGCAATGTAGAATTTTGCCACTAATTTTGCCACCTGTGACTATATGACTGCCAGGGAAACTCGGAGCTCCTTAGCATTTTGTAGACAATCGCTTACCATCTGGCTTCCATCTAGTTCCCCAGCTCCCTTCCATTACTATAGCCACCCACATATTAGAACGTGGACTTATAATTGAAGACAGTCTACTTGTGACTGCACTTTTCTGGGCCTCTGTTTCTTCATTTGTGAAATTAGATAATTGGAGTGTACTTGTTTCAAGATGTTTTTTTCAGCTGAAAGAATTTGTTTCTCTTCCATTGAGAAACTGAAGCATTTAGAGCTCATTGAAATCTCCCTTGGCAGTTTGCAGTACTTCTGTTGTCTGGCATTGGGGCTGTTTATTAATCATGATGATGAAGTCCAGGTCCACAGTGAGATGTCTCAGTTTAGGATAATATTTGTAGTTCTCCCTTATAAATGGGTCAGTGATGTCAATTCTTGTTCTATTATATTGACATCTGTAAGTATACCTCTACCATATTATCTGGCAAAGCTCTGTCCTAATAGTGACAACACTTTAGGCCTTTTGGAATCTGGCCAGTGTGTACCACGTCTCAGAGGGACCCGCTGAAGATACACTCAGTGCCTTGGTGCCACAGTTCTGGAATCCCGGGGACTGGGTCCAGGAACCCATGTTCAGGATGTTGGCATCTGAAAATTAGCCTGACTCCCAGGCTTGCTGGAAGTTATCAGCATATTCCCAAGCCTTCTCTCCAAGACAGGAACTCGAAAGAGTGAGCTGATGTAACTTTGTCCTAATCCAGTTGTCCCAGATTACTTGAAGACTGCTTTTTTATTACCTGATCAAATTATCCTGCCAGTTAATCCTATCCTATGGGTAACATGAATGTGTTCATTAACTCACTCATTCAACAAGTACTTCCTGTCTACTAGAAATTAGAAAAATGATTGCCATATCTAATTTCTACCCTCCAAGAAGTAACAACACTGTGATAGGTGCAAGGGAATTACCATATTTCCTAGATGCTGTACAAGCCATGATTATAAGAATTACCATTTCATAAAAGAAGAAAGGAAAAAGAGACACACTATAGATGAAATGTGTGCCTTATTAATGTGAGGCATCGGAATTCAAAATGTTGAATGGTTAGAGTCAAGTACAGGAACTACAACACATGAAGCATTTGGGGCACAGCTTCCCAGAGGAAGTAACACTTGAATTGTATCTTAAAGGATGAGTAGGTTCTAGCCAGCTAGAGAGTGAAGAGGCATCGGAAAGCAGAGTATGAAAGGGTGTTCATGAAAACCTGGAGGAGTGTGGTGTGATTATAACCTGGAAGAATTGGTGAAGTTTGAGGCTATAATGCTAAGTTGCAACTTGATTTGAATCTGTGTACACCATTAAGGATTTGAACTTAAATCTATGAGCATCTGAGAATCCTTACAGGTTATTAAAGCAAGAACCCAATGTATTTAGATTGTGTTTTAGGAAAATCATTTTGACAGAATGATGAAGTAGATTGACAGACAGTCCAGAGATAGTACACATTTATTAAGTACCACATAATGTTAGGTAATGTTAGGTCCTGAGAAAAGTAAACATGAATGAAATGTGATTTTGGCCCTTCAGAGCTTAAACTCCAATGGGATTGACAGAATCAGAAAGATACTCATTTACAAAGGAATGTAGTGAGGGTTTTAAAAGCTATTGGGATGTAAAGAAAGAACATTCAGCCTGCCTGTGCAGGCAATAGTGTGGCTTGGTGCACTAGGGATAGAGGTAGATGATGAGCGACACAGTCCTGCCTTCAGAGTTTTGTTCTTGCTGAAAGTTATATAACCTATCCTGGTCTTAACAGTGGCCAAGTGTTAGTGCTGTTGCAAATGCCCAGATTCTCACTGGGCCAGGAATATTCTAAGTTAAGCATATTCAGATGTCTCTTGCTCTGGGATATTCCAGTGTTTCATGTAACTCTACTTTCTAAGATTCAAGGATTGCTACCTACTGTACATTGATTGCATGCTGCTGTTTAGGCCAGCATAAAAATTCAGGGAGACTTCAGGAAGCCCTTCATAGGTTGAACAGATCAGGTACACAGGATGCCTGTGGAATTAAGTCATCTGCTGTTATTCTCTTAGGTTACCATATCCATTCCTTTGTTAATATGTTTGATTAATTCTGCACTTATCTGTCCCTTTCAAAATAAGTTACCTGCTGTTGGTGATATGCCTTTCCCCAACATAGAGGAGACTCCCTACACATGCACACCTCAGCCACAAGCAGCCTAGGCTAAAGCAAGCATCACACAGTATAGAAAGAAGTACATGCTGTGTACCTACACTTGATTCATGAGGAGTTCTAAAATAGCAAACTAGCCCTAGCTGGTTTGGGTCAGTGAATAGAGCATCGGCCTATGGACTGAAGGGTCCCGGGTTCGATTCCGGTCAGGAGCACATGCCCAGGTTGCGGGCTCATTCCCCTGTAGGGGGCATGCAGGAGGCAGCAGATCAATGATTCTCTCTCATCATTGATGTTTTTCCCTTCCTCTCTGAAATCAATAAAAATATATTAATAAGTAAATAAAATAAAATAGCAAACTGTCCTCAGAATCTAAATCTGTAAATAACTATAGACAGAAGTCACTTTTTCCTTCCCCTGATTCAGTTGTACAGCTGTGCAGATTTTCTTAGTCACAGAAATGCTAATTAGCATGTGGCATCAGTGAACAGTCACACACAAAAACAGTATAGTCCTCAGAACAGAAGAATGCATAAGGAAATGAAGTCTTTGCTGTTAGGGAAATCATGAAGCTGCACCATTACCTGTAAACCTATCTATAATCTGTGCTGATGACAGTAGGCTTTGAGCTTCTTTATATAAAGACCTTCAGCTTATACTCACTGGACTGGTGTGCAGTGAGCATTCATGGAGCATTTGCGGGTAGTAGACTAAGCTTCAAACATTTGCACAGCACTCCAAGTTACAGGTACCCTCATAAGCCAGAAGGCCCAAGACCACATGGCATGTGAGTGGCCCCAGATTAGTGCTAGGATTCAGAGGTGAACATGACATAGCTCCTGCTGCCATGGGCTTTGTAGACTAATGAGGGAGGCAGTAATTAAATATTGTAGAATGTGAACTTGGGTAATTATTATGAAAGATAATGTTATTCTTAGCGATTATGACAAGGGGACCTAATTTAGGTGAGGGGTGTCGGGTGGTAAGTAACCACTGCTGGTCTGTGATGCGGGACCATTATCTCCTGCTTTGTCCCCTGCTGCAAGGACAACTCAGGTGTCACTCTCTGCTGGGATTAGAAAAGCTGGATACCTGGTTTAGAAAATGTGGGCAAAAATAGGACCTGTCACTTCTCTTCTCCAGTGTAACTACTGTCTTTGTTGTTTTAGATCACTGTAATTGCAGATACATAGAGTTTTTTCCTTGGTATATTATGAGCATTTTGCCACTGGATTTTTTTGTTGTTATTTGAAGACTTGCCTAACTCACCCATAGTAGACCATATTGATTCTTCAACTAGGACTGGCTCTTCTTTGAAAAGATAAAAAGGATGGCTGTTGGAGAACCTATCTGAAGAATAAACTGTTGACAAACCTCAGCATGCCTGTATGTCTTAAATCCTGAGAGTAATCATGCACAGCTTTGTGGCTACTGTTATAGCTTCAGGTCTGGAATTGGTTTGGATATTTAGAAGAGTGGAGCTCAATAGATGCCTCACTGTGTGGTATTAGCCTACATTTCATACTTTTTCCACAGGAAATGGCAAAAAGTTATTAAAGATGTATATTGATTTTACCCAGCTCTTTAAAGAAAAGTATCTTTTGTTTAAGGAACCCCTCACATTGGACTTTCCTATCCTAACGAAACCCTGCACCAGATAGAGCTGTGCCTTGCTTAGTTGCAGCACCTGAGCCAACCAGTGGTGTCAGGTTGGCTGGTGTGGGTTTATCCCTGTGCAGCCTTGCAGATTGTCTGACTGGCAGCCTGTGGAAACCTGCCAGGGTGTCGACCACAGGGCAAGTGCCTCCTGTCCAGCACTGGGTGCCAGAGCTGCTGGGTCTCCATGGTGGCACCTGTCTAAATGTGCTTGTGACTGATTCAGTGTGTGTGTGTGTGTGTGTGTGTGTTCAGACAGTCTGAAAACAGAGTTCTTCCAGGATGACTTGTTAACCATTGAAATATTAGGTCTTTGCTATGACTGACTATTTTTAATGTATTGGCAAAGCCTCAAGAGAAATTAAGATTTGGCCAGGACCACTGTGGTTGTGGTCAGCTACCCTTACGGGTGTGACAAGGATTCAGATATGCCCGTCAGTCCATCCACTGCTCTCCAGATCACCTGTCCCCTTCCTAACGTCCTGGCTGGTGTCCTATCCTCTGCTGGCTACCCCTCCCGCTGTCAGGCCTTCACCCGCTGAAGACTTCCAACGACTATCTGATTTTACATGTCACACCCTAGCTGGTATGTTTTTTCTCCTCACTACATGCTAAGAATTTTATGTGTAACCTCACAATAGCTCTCAGGAGTGTGTTCTCCACATGGAGGCACTAAGGCCTAGGGAAGTTCATCATTTGTCCAGTGTCATAGAGCTGAGAAGTGTAGAGCTGGACTGATGCCCAGGAAACCTGTGTCCTTCCACTTCAACAAGCTGTTTTTGTTCATCTGTTAGAATATTAAATGAGCACAAGTATGAAAAGTGCTTTGTAAACTATCAAGCAGTATGCAGACATTTATAACTCTTGGTCTTTGCAAAAACCTGTGAAGGCCGTGCTCAAGGCACTTAGCCATGGTTTGCTGTAGGGACCAGCATTCAGGTCCCCCCCCCCTCTATGAACAGCATTTTGAGTGTCTCTTTAAAAACGTACTCCAGGAGTCAAGCTGAGAGTGTTCCTACTTTGGTGTGCGAATGTGACTTGTCAGTTTTCATTGAGACTAGAGGTTAAAGTTAAACCTCAGCAATTTCCCTGCGGCTGCCAATCCCTCAGTGCTATTAATAATAGACCTGCTTCCTCCCCACTGGGACAGGGTCTCCAGGAGCTCAGGTACAGGATTAGGTCATGTTCTGCCCTTTGTGGGGTAGGGCCTTTGGTTCCGTCACCCAGGCCCAGGAAGCCTCTGACTTGGTGGTTCGCTTCAGCTGGCAGGGCTCTGAAAGTAATAAGGCAGTAAAGTGCTGCCAGCAGGAAGGGAAACCGGAAAGGAGGGGCAGTGAAAAATGAAAAACGGGGGAGTGTAGTCAGGGATAATGACAGCTAAGTTATGAGATGTGGAAATTAGAAAAACTGCGTTTATGGTTTTTGAACTTCTGCTCTGGTAGTATTTTAATTATTAACTGATGTATGTAGTATTCTGTGGTGAAGAGAGCTGAAGTTAAAATTGCAATAAATTGCCCAAGATTTCTAAAGTTTTCCTTAGCAGGTCTGCACAGACTCACTAGATAGTGTTTTGTTTTTAAAGAAGATTAACACATGCTGGCAAGATCACTGCAGACAAATGGTAAGCATATTGACTTTTCTATTAATGCTAGTTTTATATATGGTGCACTCTCCCTGACTCTTCATCAGTACTGCTTTTTATGTCAGATCTCGTTTCCTCTTTGGTCTTTGTCTGCCTCTGGTTTAGTTAGACATTTTAGTAGCTGGGAGTATGTGTCCTCTTTTAATCCAGCTATCTTTTGTTGTTGTTGTGTCTTTTTTTCTTTTTCCTTTTTTTTCATCAAAGCACCAGTCTCATCCATCTTCCCTCACCTAACTAAGGTAGAAGGGCCAGAATGTGAGCTGAGATAGGGAAGTTCTGTTCAAGATTCTCTTTGGGTTCAAATGCTGCTCTCCAGCTCCAACATAGTTGGATAACAGAGGAGAGAAAATCGGAGAAGGTGAACTCTGTTCTTCCAGAACAGGGCTGGCTGTTAACTTGGCCTTCAGCCCAACCTGACAGATGATAGCTCATAATTTTCTCCTTAATCCCAGCTTATGACCGATAAGTCTGAATTCCAGAACTTTACTATAACTAAACATCCAAAATCTTAGATTTTGTAGATGTATTGATTCTGATTTGATTTTATGTATATGAGTTTTTAGTGTGACCAGGCTGTTTATTATGTAAGTGAGAGAAAAGATAGTATCAATAGTTTTCCTAACTAGGTTGAATTCTTTTGTTTCCTAAATGAAGTAAGTAGGGGATAATGAATGTGTGTCTGTTCTGGGCCAGGCACCTGGTAGATGGTAGAAATAGATAAAAGTCTGTTGGAAAGGTTTTGCTTACATGTGTAAGTGAACCTCTACAATAGTCTGGTAAGTTCCGTGATGGGAGAATTACAGGGTTACAGCATGCATGCTAGCACGGCAAAGGGAGCAGCTGCATCCTCGCTCTGCTTGCAGAGTACAGTCCAATACATACACTGGCCAAGAGCCTCATTCTAATGTAACAAGAACTAATTGTTTAGAAAGTTTAGAGCATCTCCCCAGTCTAATGAGATTTATCACATAAGTTAGGAAATCAAATTTCAAAGGTATCCTTTAGACTAAATGCTTTAAATCCTTGCAATCAGATTTTCTGGATAAAGGCGATGAAAAACAAACATAGAGGGGGGAAATAAATCCTAAGGGTATTGGTGGAAAACATCTTTCATCAAGAAACAGTTATTAGATTTGAGGTACCTAGCATAATGATAGTACAAATGGCCTAATCTTAAATATTTTGTTAGTAAGATACATAAATAAATTAAGTTCTTTTCTAATTTCCAGATCATGATCAGAAGTATTTTCCTGTTTTTGGATCGCACTTACGTACTTCAGAATTCCATGCTTCCTTCCATCTGGTGAGTGTTCTAGTCAGTATAGCTGTATCTGCTGCTGTGACTGAAACCACACGTTTGACTTGTCTTGTGCTGGTTAATTTGTTGGCATATGTAGTCATCTGTCTGTGGTCCTTTATGTCAGCCTAAATCACTAGTGCATACATCTAGGCCCAGGTAGATGTTAGCCTAGAGCTGTGGTCAGCAAACTGTGGCTCGAGAGCCACATGTGGCTCTTTTGCCCCTTGAGTTTGGCTCTTCCTAAGCCTTAGGAGTACCCTAATTACGTTAATAACAATGTACCTACCTATATAGTTTAAGTTTAAAAAATTTGGCTCTCAAAAGAAATTTCAATCGTTGTACTGTTGATATTTGGCTCTGTTGACTAATGAGTTTACCGACCACTGGCCTAGAGCATCTCCATCACCAGTGAAGGTGACGGGGTGAAGATGAGGCAGGCCGAGTTAGGGGAGCAAATTCTAGCACGTCCCCCAGCTTGCACTGAATGTCCCAGCAGAGGCATCAGGCAAGCATGGAAGTACTGTATGAAGCCACGTTTCTGTAACAGCTATAGACTTCAGGATCTCTGGAGCCAGTGTTCACACACATCTCACCTCTGCTGTGAGGGAGAAGAACTCAGTTATACTCTCTTTGATGGCTGGCGTTTGACTTGGCATGGCTCTTTCCAGTGGTCTGGTGAAACCTTGAGAAAGACTACAACTGCAGGCGAAGTTATGAGCTTTTCCCCCCCCCCCCCCAAACACACACACACACCCCAAAACACCAAAACCTCCATCTTACCGACTATCCAAGGGCACAGGGGCCTAGTTTTATTCAGGATATTGAGGTCTGTCATTTCAGTCTGTTCATCACACATCATCTTTCAAAGATGGTATAAATATTGTCTCTAGTCACTGACTTCCACAGCCTCTGCTAATGTGTTTCACCTCTCTGCCCACCTGCCCTAAGTCTCCCCAGAGTTGCCTCCAAGAAGCCCTAACTGACATTAACAAAAGCCTGCCCTTAATCCCATCCTTGGATTCTTCCTTTGTTGATGCAGAAGTTCCTTCTCCCATTGAGAAGTGATGTACTTTCTCATTACCTTTAAACCTGAGTTCTTTTTAAAAAATTGCTTTCTTTTCCAACTTCTCACCATCTTTTCACCCTAACCCTAAACAATGTGGTTTCTCCTTTCACCACATGGAAACTGCTCTTGCCTTAGACGTCAGTGATCTCTTGGTTACCAGATCCCATAGTCACTTTTTTTCCTCTTTCTTTTATACTAGAAGCCCGGTGCATGAGATTCATGCACTTGCAGGGGAGGGCGTGGGGGGTGGGTCCCTCAGCCCAGCCGGTGTCCTCTTGCAGTCAGGGACCCCTCGGGGGATGTCCACCCGCCAGCTTAGGCTCAATCCTCCTGTAGATCTGGCCTAAGCCGGCAGTTGGACATTCCTCTTACAGTCCTGGGCTCTAGCAGTCCATGACCCCTTGCTCCTTACTGCCCGCCTACAGCGAAGGCGGGAGTGGCTCCCGCCACTGCCGCTGCACTCGCCAGCCATGAGCCCAGCTTCTGGCTGAGTGGTGCTCCCCCTGTGGGAGCGCACTGACCACCAGGGGGCTGCTCCTGCATTGAGCATCTGCCCCCTGGTGGTCAGTGCTAGTCATGTGACCAGTCATTCCTCCATTAGGTCGATTTGCATATTAGGCTTTCATTATATAGGATAACCTGACATCTGTATAGCTTTAGACACTATTGAAACTCTCCCCTTCCTTAATACCACTTTCCCCCTTTGTTCCTCTGACTCCTACATTTCTCATGCTAGATATCCACGCATGTCTGCAATAAAGCAGACACTGCACAGAAGAGATAGCCTTTATTCAGAGAAATGATAAGGATGGTAAAACTGATAACAGCAAATTGCATAGCTTCTATTCTGTACAAAGCCCTGTTCTAAGTGCTTCAACATCTACTAATTCACTTAATCCTTAGAACAGTTCTGTAAAGAGTGACTCTTATTGTCTCCATGTTATATGTGGAGAAACTGAAGCACAGAGTTCAAATAACTTGCTATACCTGGGTTGTCAGGTTACCTAGCCTGAACTCTTAATTTATAAATGTAGTTTATAACATAGGCTATGAACGTTGCTTATAGTATAAAGTATACTATACCACACTCAGTCCACTGCAACAGGCAGAAAAACTGAGCACGATAGTACAGTACAAGAATCACGGTGAGGTGTGGGAGAGACTCACTGGGAAAGACAAGAGAGAAGCGGCATGCCTGGGCCCAGTCTCTGCAGAATGAGCAGGAGTGGTTAGATAGCTAAAGAGGCAATAGAGAAAAGAAGTCCATTCTGATGACAGGACAGCAGCATGCCCAGAACGTGTGAGAATCAGAGAGATGAAGCTGATAAGATACCCTGACAGTTGTTGGTGGGCTGCTCCTGAAGCCTTAAACAGATTTAGATTTAAGGAAGAAGATTCTAGCGGACAGATAACTTCCTATGCACTGGGTACCTGCCTGGCCAGATGTACCACAATTCACGTGATCTCCATTTAGTGTTAAGGAAGGACAGGCACAGAAAGGTTAAGTTCCTTGCCTCAGAGTCACAGCAAGCATCGGGGGAGGGTTGGGGAGGGGAGGGCAGATTCAAGCCCATGTGACTGGCTTGAGCCCACATGCTGCCCACTGGGCTTTACTGCTCTGTCTTTGAAATTCACGGAAGACTGATCTGCAGCTCCTCCAGGGAACAGGACAGGGCCATTATGATTATGGAACACAGTGAAGGAGGAGAAGGTTCTCCAACACAGACAGGGCTCCCTAGAACGCACGCCCACCAGCATATGTAGTGCTTGTCGCTGTTACCACTCACCATTAGTACCGCTGCTGCCACACCATCACCACCACTGCTCACTACTCTCTACTCAGCACCGTCACCACCACCACCACCACCACTACTCACCATTAGTACTACTCACCACCACCACTGCCCCTGAGCTGCCCATTCAGGAGACCTGGCTGGGCTCAGGGATCTGAACTTTGGCCCCCTCTGTATTTGGCACCTAGGGGATTTGAGGAGGTGTTTTGGCAAAGCATAGAGTCCTTTTGTTATCACATGGTTTTTGTGGATAGTAGCTGACAGCTAATTTCCTCCTAAATTCCTCAGGCAGTGAGCTGAAGAAGTATGATGGACTCTTAAAGTCATATTTTAATGTCAGTTCTCCCATTGAAAGGGCCAAATAAAGGAGAGAACCAAGTGTCAGGGAGGAACAGTTGGATGACAAGCTCTGTAGAGGGAACAGAGATGGAAAAGGAAAGGACATGGAGGGGCTGATGAGGGCAGTGGAGCAGGGTAGGTTCCTAAAGCCTTGAGCATCTCTGATCATGCCCAGGAAGAATGGTGTGAATTGCGGGCTGAGGATAGCAGGTTTTTGCAAGATACTTTCAATGACATGCCTGACCTAGTAATGCCTCAACATTCCTCATGTAACAGTTGCCTGACCCCCTCCAGGAAAACATAACAGCCTTGATAAAGAAGGAAATACAAGGCACAGTTAGACTGGCCCAAAATGAAAATTAAAAAATCTTGACACCTGGATTTAGAGAATTAGCAAATGAACAGACTTTGGATGATATAATGTAGCTAGAGCTTCACCTAAAATTTCTATAAAGTGAAACTAAAATATAGTTTACTTTTTTATTGTTTGTTCAGGGATATGGGATTAGAACTATTTAGAAACCATATTATTAGTGATAAAATGGTTCAGAGTAAAACTATTGATGGAATTCTGCTATTGATTGAACAAGAAAGAAATGGTGAAGCTGTTGACCGAAGCTTATTGCGAAGTCTGCTGAGTATGCTCTCTGATCTTCAGGTAAATATCTTATTGTTCTAAATTTACCAGTAACTTTTCAGTGTATAAGAAAAAAACTGGATCCCTGCCTAACTACTTACACCAAAATAAATGGACATATCAAAGATTTAAGTGCAAAAAATGAAATCACAGAAGTATTTATTGAAAATATGGGAGCTTTATTTTTTAACCACTAGAAGGAGAATGACTCGGGCTAACATCACACCAAGAGCCACAATAGGAAAGACCCGCTACAACATGGACCCATTACTCCCTAGATAAAGGACAAGGGCCTGGTGGCACTCAGAGGAGAGCAGTAAAAGTGGTCTAGGCTGACCCCGTCAGCTGAGTAGAGGTCAGCCAGCCAGGAATCAGCTGACCCAAGGTCAGCTAAGCAGAAGTCAGCTATGCCTCTGGGGTCAGCTACATAGGAGGCAGCTGAGCTGGCCTGAGACACTTCAGTGAAGGAATTAGTGCAGGTCACTGTGGCCTTGCACCCTCAAAATTTGGGGTACATCAACACTTCAAAAGGTAGTTTTGTTTACTGTAATTGGTCAATAACTCTGCTCATTTCTTAGGTATATAAAGATTCATTTGAACTGAAATTTTTGGAAGAAACTAATTGTTTATATGCTGCAGAAGGCCAAAGGTTAATGCAAGAAAGAGAGGTGAGACAACAAAATGTTTCTGAATTGCCTTATTTCATTTTTATAGATGTGCATCTAAGTGTAATTTCTAAATGTTTGTCTTTTTACACATGCAAACATTTTATTGAAATTTTTTTGAAATCTATAATCTAGCTGAAATTTCCAGTAATGAGCTTCATTCTTATTATAGTAAGGATTTAATTTCCTGTGGAAACATTTTTGCCCTCCTTCCAAATGACAATAATAATTTAAAAAAGCCAGTAAGATAGCTTCTGAAGGAAGTATATAAAGGAACTCAAGTTGAAGCAAGAGGTAAATCTTAAATATGAAATCTAACACATGAAAAAAATTTATGTGAACCACATGAAAAAATTACCCCAAAAAACATATGAAAGACATAGTGATATGAACCCAAAAAAGCTTGACAGCCAGTTTTGCAGGTGTTACAGCACAGTCCTGGAGGAAGCCCCTGGGGACCGTCACCCAAATGTTACTTGTTACTGTGCAGGATGAAACCGGCCATTGGTTTCTTCGTCCTAGTTTTAAAGAGGGAGTTTCGCGTCAAATACCAGACCTGGCTGCTGCCACTAGATCAGAACCCCACAGACCTGTGTTGTGGGCCTTTCTTGTGCTGTCATATGACAGCAGGGAGACCCTGTGTCCCTGGAACTGATGTGCATTTTGAGATCTTCTGCAACCATGCTGTTTAGTGTCCACAAATGACAACCAGTCTGTTGAATAGTTTTTGCTGACACTTTGTATGTGGGCCAGGGGATGTCATTAGGCTCTATAACCTCTGACCCCGGTGCTTCTGCTTACCTGTTTATGGGGCCTCAGTGATGGGGGATGGTACATATGACATCAGCCCCCAGGTGCTGCTGCTCACCTGTCTGTGGGGCCCCAGGCATGGAGGGCCCTATGGCATCAACCACAGGACTGCACTGTGAACAGGGCACAACAATGCAGTCCTGCCTTAGCCCTGCTTCTAGAGGTTAAGTTTCATCTCCACAATTGAGTTTAAGGAAACTTCTGTGTATCCCACCTGCCCTGCATACACTTCCCACTTTACCACCCCACCCCCATTAATCTGTGTTAATATTTGGCTTGAAATATTCTGCTTTTAAATAAAAATTTGTAAGGAAAACAATATTCCAGTTTCTTCAGTAAAATCAAGAATCTTTTTGTTACTGATGTGTTTAAATATTTTGTTTGGAAGGTTCCAGAATATCTTAACCATGTAAGTAAACGTTTAGAGGAAGAAGGAGACCGAGTAATCACGTATTTAGACCACAGTACACAGTAAGTACTATTCATTTATTTAGTTTTTGCAATTCGATCATAGGTGAAACCTTTTCCTGGCTGGTTTTTTAATAATTAACTTGCTTATTATTAAGGTTTGTAGCAAGATACTCAACAAAGACTTTTATCCTTCCTTGACCACTGGCAAGATCTGACACTACATAAACAAAGCAGTTAATTTATCTTACAAGTACTGAGTAATCACAAATAATATAAAATGTGCTAAGAGCAAAAATAACTCCCAGATAGTACTGAATGAGTCTACAAAGATACTATTTATATCTTTGTATCACAATGCAGTACCACTTAGTACCCACCAGGATGTCTGTAATACAAAAAGGCAAGCAGTCAAAAGCATTGGTGAGGGTGTGGAGAAATTAGAACCCTCATGCATAATTGGTAGGAATGTAAAACGGGGCAACCACTGTGGAAAACAATTTGGTATTTCCTCAAAATGTTAAACAGTTACCATATGTTTCTCCAATACACCAGTTCTCCAAAATATATAGAGAAATGAAAACGCATCCACACAAAACTTGTACACAAATGTCCATGCAGCATTATTTTTTTTGTTTGTTTATCATATATTTTTATTGATTTCAGAGAGGGAGGGAGAGAGAGATAGAAACATCAATGATGAGAATCACTGATAAGCTGCCTCCTGCACACCCCCTACAGGGGATCGAGCCCGCAACTCAGGCATTTGTCCTGACCAGGAATTGAACTGTGACCTCCTGGTTCAACCACTGAGCCATTATTATAAAATAATAGTTTTTTACTATTATTTTATTTATAATAGTAAAAAAGTGGAAACAACACATTAACTGATGAATGGGTAAACATATAATAGAATATTAGCATTAAAAAAAGAATGGAGTACTGACACATGCTACAACATGGATGAACCATAAAAATACTTTGCTAAGTGAAAGAGCCAGACAAGTCATGTTGTGCGATCTCATTTATAGGAAAGGTTCAGGATAGGAAAATCTGTAGAAATTACTGTCTGCCTCTAATTAGGAGACAGGGAGGGTGGATAGAGAGAATGGAAGTGCTGATGGGTATGAAGTTTCTTTTAGGATGATGATAATGTTCTAAAATTAGATCATAGTGACAGTTATATGACTCTGTAAATATATTAACAACTGTTGAACTGTACACTTTAAATGGATGGATTTTATGGCATATTTACTCTCTGCCCTCTACCTCCCCTCACGTGGGTCACTGTTCCTTTTCCTGGAGGCAGACTGGAAAAGGTGCTGACGACTCGCTGAACTCAACTCTCAGCTTCACCACTCCCTGGGCAGGTCACACCATCTCTGAACTCTTGTCTTCTCATCTGTGGGATGGAGGCCAGAATGTCTGCAGTGCCTTTTTCTAGGGTTCTCTGAGGTTTAATTAAGATGATACATTGAAAAGTTCCTTATAAAATTAAGGTTTGGGAAGATGGCCATAATTAATAAGCTCAGAATAAAACAGATACTCTGATTTTTTTTTTTTTTAATGAACTGTGGATAATGAACCCAGAAAGAATGATTGTTTGTGTCCCTATAATTATGGCAGTCACACCTGCTGAATTTCCAGATTTTCAAATATTCTGGTCTGTGTGACACGCAACTTGGACTTCATGAAAGCTCTTCCTTAAGTTGGATTTTGATAAATGGTTATGGAAGAAAGCAGACAGAGTGGGGACAGAGAGACATAGCTGTAACAGTAGAAAACAGGGTTTTATGCAACCTGGAGAAGTAATTGGAGTTGAAGAAGAGGGCAGAATAACAGCAGCAATCCAAGAAGTAATGTGCATAATGGAAGGCAAAACTTAAATTCAAAAAATGACTACAGCATGAGTACCGATTGCCAGCCAAGTGTGGGGCCACTTTTATTGTAAGGCACGGCACACTTGCCTATCTACTGGTGTCCCCTTCTCCCAGCATCTATTGATCTATTTATGTTCTTAAGTAAATTGTTTTCAGAAATACTTCAGACTCTGTATTAACAGCAGTGGTGACTGTCCACGTGTGAGCAGAGTGCTTGTTCTGTGACCCTTTGGTTTCTGATTGGCTCCATAGAGTATCTGTGTAAGCTGTAAACTCCCAGTCTTACAGTTAACCAAAGTCTCTCCTTTAACCTTATTTCTGAAACATTCTCTTTTTGCCTGTTATAGAAAACCACTGATTGCTTGTGTGGAGAAACAGCTATTAGGAGAACATTTAACAGCAATTCTGCAGAAAGGTAAATTTTCCTAACTCTTGTATCAATTAAATTGAATGATAGTCCTTAATGCATTAAGAAAGTAAGTGAAACATTATAAGTAGCAATGTAAGGACATTTGTTATAAGACAGTCTCTAAAAATCATTAAAAATAATGAAGATATTAGCCCTTGAGAAAATTAGTTAAGAAAAATATTGAAAGGCATGTGGTAGAACTACAGCTTATGCTGAAGTCAAATCAAATACTGTCCAGGCTGAAAGCTTCCTAGAGATTCCTCTAGACAACAGGTAGTTTGCAGCTGGGTACTTGTGCAGTGCTCATGGTCCATGTGCCTCTGTATTGTACCTGACATACAGGTGATGCTCGGAATGCTGCTGCGGGTGTAGATGTACATCACTGGACAGGCTGTTAGATTTTCATGGACTTCTTCCCATGCCCTTCAAGCAGCTGAGTGTCAGATAAACTGCCAGATGTGTGGTCAGCATAAGCCAGAGTACACTTTTCTACCCTGATTATCCTGGAAAAATAAGCAAACAGAAAATAGAACACATTATATTGCTAATTTTACATTCCCCTTGTGATCCTAAAGCTTTGTTAAAGAGTAATTCAAATGTTGATGCTTTGCAGCAACAGTGAGACTATTTATAATACTCTAGTACTTATTGTTACTTCTTATAACTCTTAAGTATTTAATGTTACCATTTGAAAGTCATTTTGGAACTACAGAATGTTTCAAGGTATTGAAAACCTTAAAGTTTAACTTTGGGGAGGTCCTAAATAGCACCCAAATATATTCTGGTTTGGATTCTACTTTGCTAGATAGTCAAAGTGGGACTTCCAAGTGAAACCACAATATAATGCCAGAAGAAGAGAGAATTGCATTGTTGAGCATCCATTGTACTTCATATAAATATCTTCTGGTCTTTGAACAACCCAGTGAAATCATTACCCCCATTTTACAAGTAAGAAAACTGAGGCTAACAACAGCTTGAACATCGTGCCTCAAGTCACAGCTCCTAAATTGAGAGGCAGGGTGTAAGTCTGGATGTCTTTCTATGTATACCTCACTGAAAACTATAAAGCTGGTATACTTGCTCATGAATGAGGCCTCAACTTAATGGTCTACCTAATACAAATGCATTCAGAATTCATACTAGGTGTGTGTTTTTTAATGAGTCATTTTGTAAGAGAAAAAGGGATTCAAGTAAATAGTAGAAATTTGCATACATTGTTTCAAGAAAATTATGAATTTTATATATAGGCGCTTAATCTAAATTTAATTAGAGGCATTGAAAAAATAGCTGTAATTTTTGAATTCTTGAAGACATTATTTAGTGTTTCAGTACAGTTATAAAGTTACTGCATTAGTAGATTGAAACGTAATTTAGAGAAATAAACATGAGAGCCCTTAGTGAGGATCTGTACTTTTACCCACAGTGCATTGTGTGCATCTGTAAACCACCTTCAGCGGGTGGACATTGTGCCCATTTATAGAAGAATCTGAGACTTTGTGAAGTAACATGACTAGCTCGCTGCTTTTCTAACTTAGCTGCCTCTCCATTGTTATCATAAAGCCGATATTTAGGAAATCTGTGAAAGTTCCGATGGTGGTGTGGTTTTATAAAATCTAAATACCTAAAACAGGAAAGAAGAACTTTTAAAATGCCGTGTTTAATCAATAATAAATGGTTTTCTCTCACAGTGTATTATATCTATGGATAAAATTAATCATCTAAAAGATTACATTTGATAGCATATTCTTTGACAATATACTTTTGGACTGGTGGATTAAATCAGAAGGAACTTGGAATCACGAACCTCCCAGGTCAAATAGTTGGTGTGAGCATTTTCAGATTATTGCTACTTTAGTGAATTAAGAAGGCTTTAGTGCAAGAGTGGGGAACATCTGGCCCACAAGTCCTATAAGGTCCGAGAAATCCTTTGATCTAGCCCTCTCAAGGCATTATGGGTGAGTTCATTAAATGTTTGACCAAATATAGCAAGCTAATTTTTAAGTTGATAAATTTGTATGGGCTGCAAATGATGTTATAAATACCCAAATGGCCCTTGACAGAAAAAAAGTTCCCACCCCTGCTTAGTGACATGAAGAAATAAAGAATACATCTCCCACCATGGTTAGAAAAATGAGATTCACTTAATAGGATTTATCAGATATTGCACCAGAACAACTTGCCTGTGTAGAAATAAGCAATATTCCCTAATTTTTTTTATTACATGTTAACTTTTTTTGTGGTGCATACTATTTTCTGGTTGAAGTATTATTCGCATTGACTTACTGATGTGATATGCTAACATTTACTGTGTGATCTCAGGACTTGATCACTTACTTGATGAGAACAGAGTGCCTGACCTCACTCAGATGTACCAGCTGTTTAGCCGAGTGAAGGGTGGGCAGCAGATCCTGCTTCAGCACTGGAGCGAGTACATCAAGGTTTGTGGGGTTTGACTTGATAGTAATACCAACTGTGCTTTGTACAAGGGGTGGGTGGCCCATCTTTAGGATACTGCAATACCCTGGGCAAAGTGAACTGGACTGTTTGGAGGTACCTTTGTTTTTTCATAGCAGGTGATCAGGTAAATAGTAGTCTTCCATTTCTTTCCAGATCACTTGTGCAAACTTTTTAAAAATATCTTTTTATTGGTTTTTAGAGAGAGGAAGGGAGAGGGATAGAGAGATAGAAACATCAGTGAGAGAGAAACATCATCGATTGGCTGCCTCCTATATGCCCTCCACCAGGGATCTAGCCTGCAACCTGGACATGTGCCCTGACCGAGAATCAACCAGTGACCTCGTGGTTCATGGGTTGATACTCAACCACTGAGCCACTCTGGCTGGGGCAGTGCAAACTTAAGATAACACAAACAGTGATAAACAGCATCCTGGTATAAACATGACTTGAAAGGCTGTTTGGCTATTTGTCATCAGCATAACTACATACATTTCATTCTACAGTAGTCATTTTTGTGAATCTGCTTTTTAAACATACCTTTGCATAGTGAGAACTAGTGCACATTTTGGTAGGTTGATGTGTGTGCTACTTTATTTCCTAGCAATCTAGGATTTATTATTTAAACATTACTTTCATGTTTCTGTAGCATGCGTTATGTGTCAGGGCCAACCTGACAGGTTGAGCCGGGCTGAGGCAGGGAGGTGGGAATTGAGAAAAGAAAGAAAGACAGGAAAGCGGGATCGGGAGGACTACAGCTCTCGAGGAACTGAAGCAAGTTTATTAGCCACACAATCCTATTTATACACAACACACTGAATAGGAGGTCTGTCAAGAGGAATGTATTCTTTGTTCCTCTTAATCTCTAAGGGAGAGACACAGCAGAAGGACAAGTTCTCAGTACAGCATATCTCAGTAAATAGTTACAGACTTCTTGGTAAGCCATGAAAGGCTGTTCTCATTCTACTGATAATCGCCATCCAAACAAGTCTGGGAAAACTGTGTGGGTAAGGGTCCCAGCCTTGCTAGCCCCTTCAGGTGCAAGGACCTTGCCAGCTTACATCTGGCCCCCAACAGTTATGTACATGTATGGTTATAAAAAAGGCAACAGAAGGATTCCTTGTGGTATCTTGACAGTGGTGAAGGGTACACAGATCTGCACAGGTGATAAAAACTAAATCCATACAAAAGTTAGTTTCAGTTAAAACTGGGACAATCTGGATAAGATGGGTAGATTGTATCAATACTAACATCCTGGTAGTGATGCTGCCCCATTGTTTTGCCAAATGTTATCATCAGAGGAAAATAGACAATGTCGTATTTCTACTGCGTGAGAATCTCTATCACAAGGAATATTTCAATGAGATAAAAAGATAAAGCTTTCATACTGCTTTTTGGAATATCAGGCCTGGAGTTACTTACTATTTTGCATGTTGAAAGCTTGTACACACATGCGCACCACCACCTCAAGATTCTATACAACGATATTGAGCTAAAACTCATGACTGACTTAAGCTGGATTGGCAATGAAACTTTATGTTAAGGAAAGGCTAATTAATAGAGATTTAGGATTTTGCCAACATGTAGTCCTCAGGGAACAGGAAACCTTTGCAATTTTTAGTTTGGGTAGTAAAAAATCAGTGATGTGACCACCGTTCCTGAGTGTCCATAAGATAAGGACAAAATAGGAAGTTACATTCAGCACAGTGTCGTTATCAAAATAAAGCTGATCTTGGCAGTGTGTGTACATTATTTTTAAATGCAGTCAGTACAAAGGGTAGAGTGAAAATTAAGTCCCTCCCACCCCTGGTGGTCATAGTGTTATAGTGTTCCTTTCCAGAAGGTATTTATGCTAATGTATTTCTACCTTTTCGCCAATAGTCTGCCTTGACCTGCATAAATGATGTGTAGTGTATACTTAAGACCATTTTTTTTCTTTTTTTCTTTTAATCCTCAGCCGAGGATATGTAGAGAGAGAGAGAGAGAGAAACATCAATTGGTTGCTTTTTATATGTGCCCTAACTGGGGATCAGGTATGTGCCCTGATCAGGAATCGACCCAGCAACCTTTCGGTGCACAGGATGACACTCAACCACCTGAGCCACTGCGCCCAGGCAAGACTAGTTTTTCAAAAATATGTATTACATTGATTAATTATATTCAACACCTCTTCAAACTGGTAGTTTATGTCCTCAAACAGCTAACTATTATTGTCACACATAGAATTTTAGTAATATTTATTTTAATATAGCATTTTTGATTTAAAATACAGGCTAAAAACCATGCTGTTTATAATTAGAAGTGAAGGAGAAAGAAAACTATAGCCACGAAGTCCAAATGGATGTGTTGATGGGAATTAATATCTATTTGAAGAATTCATATGTAAAAAGTTCTTCAAAAAAACAGTAGAAAATGTTCCAGGGATTTATAAATTCTTCCAGAAGCAGAATTGTAACACTCTTTGTGGTTTCAGTTACCTGTAGTCACTTGTGTTCCAAAAACATTAAATGGAAAATTTCAGAAATAAGCAATTCATAAGTATTAAATTGTGAGCCATTCTGAGTAGCATGGTGAAATCTCAGCCTGTCCCACTTGGTATATGAGTCATCCCTTTGTTCAGCATATCCACCCAGTATATACTATCCACCCATTGGTCACTTAGTACACAGTGCTTGGGGTTTAGATAACCCTTATTTTACTTAATAATGGCCCAAAGTGCAAGAGTAGTGATACTGGCAATCAGATAATGCCAAAGAGAAGCCTTAAATTGTATGTATGTATAGGAAAAAACTGTGTGTGTGTGTGTGTGTGTGTGTGTGTGTGTGTGTGTGTGTGTGTGTGTGTACACACACACACGTGCACAATATATATGGTTCGTGTGTGTGTGTGTGTGTGTGTGTGTACACACACGTGCACAATATATATGGTTTGGTACTCTCCATGGTTTCAGATATCTACTTGGATCTTGGAACATGTCCCCCAAAGATAAGGGGGGAACTATAGTATTCACTTAATTTTTAGAATGCAGACTGAATTTATGAAATTTTTCCACTGTCATGATTGTTTAATAGCAGGAGAAAATAATATGTGGTATCATAAACCTGTTGATGACTTGGTGTGTGTTTGTTTTTGTAGACTTTTGGGACAACGATTGTTATCAATCCTGAAAAAGATAAAGATATGGTTCAGGACCTGCTGGATTTTAAGGACAGAGTGGACCATGTGATAGAAGTATGCTTTCAGAGGAATGAGAAGTTCATCAACTTGATGAAGGAATCCTTTGAAACGTTTATCAACAAGAGGCCAAATAAGCCCGCAGAACTAATCGGTAGAGAAACATGTTTCTATACATTTTTTTAATATGTGAAAGTAAGGCATAACTCAAGCAAAATTTTTTCTCAAAATATTAAAGCTCCTGCTCTGGCTGGTGTGGCTCAGTTGATTGGAGCATCATCCGGTACACTGAAGAGTGGCAGGTTCGATACCTAGTCAGGGCATATACCCAGGTTGCGGGTTCACTCTGAGAAGCAACCATTCGATGTTTCTCTCAAATTGATGTTCTCTCCCTCTCCCTCTAAAATCCTCGGATGAGAATTAAAAATACTTTTTTTTTCCAAGCTCTTCATGCTAGGGGAAGAGTTTGTATCACACCTTATTAGGGGACACATTTTCAAAAAACTATATATACACGTGTGTTATATTTTTTTTTTGTATATACACATATCTGTATGTATACAGTACATGGTATTTCCATAGGGAGAATGTAGTAGTAATTCTGTAAGAAATGAGGTTTGTCTTCACAAAGAAAAAGGTCCTCTGCCCATTTTTTAATTGGGTTGTTTGTCTTCCTTTTGTTGAGTTGTATGAGTACTTTATATATTTTGGAAATTAACCCCTTATCCGATGTATCATTGGCAAATATGTTCTCCCATACAGTAGGTTACCTTTTCATTTTGATGCTGGTTTCTTTTACTGTGCAGAAGCTTTTTAGTTTAATATAGTTCCATTTGTTTATTTTTTTCCTTTGTTCTCTTGCACTAAGGATGTATCTGTGAAAATTCTGCTACGTGAGATGTCTGATATTTTGCTGCCTATGTTTTTTTCTAGGATTTTTATGGTTTCACACTTATATTTAAGTCTTTTATCCATTTTGAGCTTATTCTTGTATATGGTGTAAGATGGTGATCTAGTTTCATTTTTTTGCATGTACCTGTCCAATTTTCCCAACACCATTTATTGAAGAGACTGTCTTTACTCCATTGTATAATCTTGCCTCCTTTGTCAAATATTAATTGAGCATAATAGTTTGGGTCAATTTCTGGGGTCTCTGTTCTCTTCCATTGATCTATATGCCTGCCTGTTCTTGTGTCAATACCAAGCTGTTTTGAGTACAGTGGCTTTGTAGTATAGTTTGATATCCAGTATTGTGATTCCCTCCAACTTTTTTCTTCTTTCTCAAGATTGCTGTGGCTATTTGGGGTCTTTTTGGTTCCATATGAATTTTTGGAGTATTTATTCTAGATCTGTGACATTTGCCATTGGTATTTTAATAGGGCCTGCATTGAATCTATAGGTTGCTTTAGGTAGTATGTACATTTTAATGATGGTTAATTTTACCAACCCGTGAACACGGTATATTTTTCCACTTGTTTATATCTTCTGTCTCTTTTTCCAACATCCTGTAGTTTTCTGAGTACAGGTCTTTTACCTCCTTGGTTAAGTTTATTCCTAAGTATCTTAACTTTTTTGTTGTAGTGGTAAATGGATTTTTTTTTCTTTTTTCTCTTTCTAAGAGATCATTATTGGTGTATAAAAGTGCCATTGATTTCTAGGTGTTAATTTTGTATCCTGCTGCATTGCAGAATTCGTTTATTAATCTAGTAATTTTTTTGGTGGAGTCTTTAGAGTTTTCTAAGTACAATATCATGAAGACAAACAACCCAATTAAAAACTGGAGAGCCCTAGCCAGTGGTCGGCAAACTGCGGCTTGCGAGCCACATGTGGCTCTTTGGCCCCTTGAGTGTGGCTCTTCCACAAAATACCAACTTCTGCGCATGGGCCACGAAGTTTCAATCGCACTGTACATGCGTGCTCGCACATGGTATTTTGTGAAAGAGCCACACTCAAGGGGCCAAAGAGCCACATGTGGCTCGCGAGCCGCAGTTTGCCGACCACTGCCCTAGGCAGTTTGGCTCAGTGGATAGAACGTCGGCCTGTGGACTTGAAGGGTCCCAGGTTTGATTCCAGTCAAGGGCACATGCCCGGGTTGTGGGCTCGATCCCCAGTAGGGTGTGTGCAGGAGGCAGCCAATCAATGATTCTCTCTCATCATTGATGTTTCTTTCTCTCCCTCTCCCTTCCTCTCTGAAATCAATAAAAATATATTTAAAAAAAATACTGGAGAGAGGACCTGAATAGATGCTTCTCCAAAGAGGACATACAAATGTCCAAGCGACATATGAAAAAATGCTCAACATCCCTAATTATAAGAGAGATGCAAATGAGAATGACAATGAGGTACCACCTTATACCTGCCAGAATGGCTACCATCAATAAATCAACAAATAATAAGTGCTGGCAAGGATGTGGAGGAAAAAGGAACTGTAGTACACTGTTAGTGGGAATGTAGACTGGTACAACCACTATGGAAAATGGTGTAGAGTTCCCTCAAAAAATTAAAAATGGAACTGCCATTTGACCCAGTAATTCCACTTCTAGGAATATATCCTAAGAAGCCTGAAACCAATCAGAAAGAATATCTGCAACCTTATGTTCATGGCAGCATTATTTACAATAGCTAAGATCTGGAAACATCCCAAGTGCCCATCAGTAGATGAGTGGTTAAAAAAGCTGTGGTACATTTACACAATGGAATATATGCAGCTGTAAGAAAGATCTCTTACCCTTTGAGACAGCATGGAGGGATGTGGAGAGTAATATGCTAAGTGAAATAAGCCAGTCAGAGAACGACAAGTATCACATGATCCCACTTATATGTGGAATCAAATGAACTTAATAAACTGATGAACAAAATAGATCTAGAGACATAGAAGCATGGAGCAGACTGAAGTATTTCAGAGGGAAGGAGGGGTCGGGCAGGAAGAGATTAAACAAAGAACTTACATAACCCATGGACAGACAATAGTGCTGTGAAGGCCTGGGGAGGGGCTGGAGAGGGCGGAGTGGGTAAACGAGGATGGGGAAGGGGACATCTATATACTTTCAATAATAAAGATAAGTTAGAAAAAGAAAAAAGGGACAAAGATTTAGCCTAGTCTGCATTTCCTGTTCTAACAGTCCCAGATCTATAGTTTATAGAAATAAACCTTGAACCTCTGACTTGATTACTTGTAATTTCTGCTCAGAAATTGGATTGAAGTTTGTTGTATAGGATGCCTCTGTATTATGATGATACCTTTATCAATCTCCAGATAATATTTAACATGAGATACTATTAATCACTATCTTTGCATTCTCTGATTAGTATTAAAATAGGATTAAATTGGATGGGATCTCAAAAGAACATATTTTGAGATGAAACAGGTTTTTTTCAATATAAATGCACTCTCTGTATATGAGTCCTCCTTTATCAGACATATGGTTGGCAAACATTTTTCCCAGTTTGTAACTTGTGTTTTAATTCCTTAATGAAGATTCTGTCCTTTCTCCAGTATTGTATATTCATGGCTCCTTTGTCATAAATTGTCTGTATATGTGGTTTATTTCTGTGCTCTCAATTCTGTTCCATTGTCCTGTGTGTGTGTTTCTGTTCCAATACCATATTGTTTTGATTACTGTAGGTTTGTAGTATATTTTGAAACGAGGGAGCATGATACATCTCCCTTTGTTGTTCTTCCTCAAGATTGCTTTGGCTATTCGGGATCTTTTGTGGTTGCATACTAATTTTAGTATTATTTGTTCTAGTTCTGTGACTATGCCATTGGAATTTTGATAAGGATTACACTGAACCTATAGATTGCTTTAGGTAGTATTGACATTTTAAAAGTATTAATTCTTCCAATTCATGAGCATAGACTATCTTTCCATTGTGTCCTCTCAGTTTCTTTTATCAGTATCTAATAGTTTTTAGTGTACAGATCTTTCACTGCTTGTTCAGTTTATTTCTATACTTTGTATTGTTTTTTATATAATTGTAAATAGGGTTGTTTTCTTAAGTTCTCTTTCTGATAGTTTATTATTAGAATATAGCCACAGATTTTTGTGTATTGATTTTGTGTCCTGTGACTGTACTGGATTAATTTATTCTAACTTTTTTTTTGGTGAAATCTTTAGGTTTTTACATGGTATCTTATTTGCCAATAGTGACAATTTTCTTTCTTTTCTATTTGGATGCCTTTTATTTCTTCTTCTTGCCTAATTGCTGTGGCAAAGACTTCCACTATTATCTATAATAATAAAAGCGTAATGTGCTAATTAGACCAGATGTCCTTCCAGACAAAGCTGTAGGGGATGGGGGCCGAGGTAGAAGCAACAGAAGCCCTCGGCGGGGGCCAGGGCCAAGGCCCTTGCACGAATTTCGTGCATTGGGTCTCTAGTGTTGTATAAAAGTGTTGAGAGTTCTCTCCCTCCAGTGAGCACGCCCATGCCACTCCCTTTCACCTCTTCCCCCACAGGCACATATCCCCTAACTTCTAAGGGGCCCCGAGTCTTGCAGCCAGGGGAGCAGTGGGCAGGGGCTAACCCCTTGAACCTGTCTCAAAGGCTCTCTAATCTTTGACTTCCCAGTGAGCCAAAGTAGCCCAGCCTAGGCTCTCCTATTCCTCATGCCCTTCCTTGTTTCACTCACCTAAGTATATTTTTGCTGTGATCAGTAAATTTTTGCTTGCTTTTCTGAAAACTAAATAAATAAATAAAAGTGGTGAGAATGGGCATCCTTGTCTTTACTGATCTTTTAGGAAAATCTTACAGCTTTACATGTCCCTCTATGCCCACTTTGTTGAGAGTTTTATCATAAACTAGAGGCCTGGTGCACGGATTCGTGCACTATTGGGGTCCCTCGGCCTGACCTGTGGGGATCGGGCAAAAACCAGCTCTCTGACATCCCCCTAGGGGTCCTGGATTGCGAGAGGGCGGTTCTCGGGTGACACACCCCAGAATTGGACTCCCTCCTCTCTGATTCCAGGTGCGTCACCACAGCTTGGCAGCCCCTGTGTTTAGTGCCTGCCCCCTGGTGGTCAGTGCGCATCATAGTGAACGGTCGGATGGTCGTTTAGGCTTTTACTAGTATATATATATGGATGTAAATTTTACCAAATGCATTTTCTGCATTTATTGAAATGATCATATAATTTTTGTCCTTCATTGGGTTAATGTACTGTATCACATTGATTGATGTACAGAACCATCCTTTCATACCTGGAATAAATTCCACTTTGTCATGGACTATGATCATTTTAATGTATTATTGAATCTGTTTTGCTAATATTTTGTTGAGAATTTACATCTATGTTCATCAGGGATATTGGCCTGTTACTGTCTTTATTTATGGTGTCCCTGTCTGGTTTTGGTATCAAGGTAATGCTGGCCTTGCAAATGTGTTTGAAATTGTTCCTTCCTCTTCTGTTTTTTTTTTTTTTGGAAGAGTTTGGGAAGGATAGGTATTAATTTTTAAAAATATTTTTTTATTATGCTCACTAGAGCTTACAGCTTTCCCTGCACTGGGAAGAGAAGGCAGAAGGTATGAGTCCCATGGCTGTCACAGGCAGTGTGACCATCCTAGAGGTCTAACTCTGCAGGCCCTCTACCCTATAAGCCAGTGATGGTGAACCTATGACACGTGTGTCAGAGGTGACACGCGAACTCATTTTTTTTGGTTGATTTTTCTTTGTTAAATGGCATTTAAATATATAAAATAAATATTAAAAATATAAGTCTTTGTTTTACTATGGTTGCAAATATCAAAAAATTTCTATATGTGACACGGCACCAGAGTTAAGTTAGGGTTTTTCAAAATGCTGACACGCTGAGCTCAAAAGGTTCGCCATCACTGCTCTATCCCCTAAGCCAAACCAGCTAGGGCAATTTTTCTTTTTAATGTTTGGAAGAATTCATCAGTGAAGCCTTCTGGTCCTGGATTTTTATTTGTTGGGAGGTTTTTGATTGCTGATTCAGTCTCCTTACTAGTAATTGGTCTATTTAGGTTTTCTATTTCTAAGATGAAAGTTTTTAAATTACTACTTTATACAATTATGTCATGATAACATCAAAATATATTTAGGATTCATAGAATTTCACTAGTTAGTAAAAGTTTTTAAAAATTGACAGGTGGCAAAGGGTAAAGAAGGATCTATACAGTGATACAAAATTGGGCTTGTGTTGATTATTATTGAAGGTGTTATGATGGGAACATGGAGTTCATTGTACAATTATCTACTTTTGTGTATATTCAGAATATTTTTTTAAAAAATATATAAACAATACAAATAAAAACAACACTAGAAATTCACAAGGTAATTTAATTTGGCTTTTGTGCCACTTTATGGGTTATTGTTTCTCTAAAGATAAATGTTTAACTCTTGGGAGCTGGGCTTATTAAATTCTTGGGTTTTCCCTTCCTTAAGCCAGGTCATGGTTGATTTGTGTCAAACAGGAAACCAGAGTAGAATTGCTCTAATCCCTGCATTCAGGGATAAGACATTGTGACCATGGATATAATCACATGAAGCCCTGAAAAAAATCCTTTAAGAGTCTTATCCAAATTTTTTATACCACATCTTGAAGATGGGACATACCAGTTCCTGAAGCAAAATGTGTCATGAAACTGAAGCATGTAATTAAAGTATTTATTCTCACATGATTTGAAAGAACATGTCTTAGACCAGTGGTCGGCAAACCACGGCTCGCGAGCCACATGCGGCTCTTTGGCCCCTTGAGTGTGGCTCTTCCACAAAATACCACGTGCGGGC